GGAGAATGGGGCGGGGTGATGGAAAGTGGGAGAATGGGGCGGGTGATGGAAAGCGGGAGAATGGGGCAGGGAGATGGAAAGCGGGAGAAAGGGGCGGGGTGATGGAAAGCGGGAGAATGGGGCGGGCTGATGGAAAGCGGGAGAATGGGGCGGGGTGATGGAAGGAGGGAGAATGGGGCGGGGTGATGGAAGGAGGGAGAAGGGGGCGGGGTGATGGAAAGCGGAAGAATGGCGCGGGGTGATGGAAAGCGGGAGAATGGGGCGGGGTGATGGAAAGCGGGAGAATGGGGCGGGGTGATGGAAAGCGGGAGAATGGTGCGGGGTGATGGAAAGCGGGAGAATGGGGCAGGGTGATGGAAAGCGGGAGAATGGGGCGGGGTGAAGGAAGGAGGGAGAACGGGGCGGGGTGATGGAAGGAGGAAGAAGGGGGCGGGGTGATGGAAAGCGAGAGAATGGGCCGGGGTGTTGGAAAGCGGGAGAATGGGGCGGGGTGATGAAAAGCGGGAGAATGGGGCGGGGTGATGGAAAGTGGGAGAATGGGGCGGGGTGATGGAAAGCGGGAGAATGGGGCGGGTGATGGAAAGCGGGTGAATGGGGCAGGGTTATGGAAAGCGGGAGAATGGGGCGGGGTGATGGAAAGCAGAAGAATGGGGCGGGGTGATGGAAAGCGGGAGAATGGGGCGAGGTGATGGAAAGCAGGAGAATGGGGCGGGTGATGGAAAGCGGGAGAATGGGGCGGGGAGATGGAAAGCAGGAGAAAGGGGCGGGGTGATGGAAGGAGGGAGAATGGGGAGGGGTGATGGAAAGCGGGGGAATGGGGCGGGATGATGGGAAGCGGAAGAATGGGGCGGGGTGATGGAAAGCGGGAGAATGGGGCGGTGTGATGGAAAGCGGGAGAATGGGGCGGGGAGATGGAAAGCGGGAGAAAGGGGCGGGGTGATGGAAAGCGGGAGAATGGGGCGGGCTGATGGAAAGCGGGAGAATGGGGCGGGGAGATGGAAAGCGGGAGAAAGGGGGGGGGTGATGGAAGGAGGGAGAATGGGGAGGGGTGATGGAAAGCGGGGGAATGGGGCGGGATGATGGGAAGCGGAAGAATGGGGCGGGGTGATGGAAAGCGGGAGAATGGGGCGGGGTGTTGGAAAGCGGGAGAATGGGGCGGGGTGATGAAAAGCGGGAGAATGGGGCGGGGTGATGGAAAGTGGGAGAATGGGGCGGGGTGATGGAAAGTGGGAGAATGGGGCGGGTGATGGAAAGCGGGTGAATGGGGCGGGGTGATGGAAAGCAGGAGAATGGGGCGGGGTGATGGAAAGCGGAAGATGGGGCGAGGGGATGGAAAGCGGGAGAATGGGGCGTGTAATGGAAAGCGGGAGAATGGGGCGGGGTGATGGAAGGAGGGAGAATGGGGAGGGGTGATGGAGAGCGGGGGAATGGGGCGGGATGATGGGAAGCGGGAGAATGGGGCGGGGTGATGGAAAGCGGGAGAATGGGGCGGGGTGATGGAAAGCGGGAGAATGGGGCAGGGAGATGGAAAGCGGGAGAAAGGGGCGGGGTGATGGAAAGCGGGAGAATGGGGCGGGCTGATGGAAAGCGGGAGAATGGGGCGGGGTGATGGAAGGAGGGAGAATGGGGCGGGGTGATGGAAGGAGGGAGAAGGGGGCGGGGTGATGGAAAGCGGAAGAATGGCGCGGGGTGATGGAAAGCGGGAGAATGGGGCGGGGTGATGGAAAGCGGGAGAATGGGGCGGGGTGATGGAAAGCGGGAGAATGGTGCGGGGTGATGGAAAGCGGGAGAATGGGGCAGGGTGATGGAAAGCGGGAGAATGGGGCGGGGTGAAGGAAGGAGGGAGAACGGGGCGGGGTGATGGAAGGAGGAAGAAGGGGGCGGGGTGATGGAAAGCGAGAGAATGGGCCGGGGTGTTGGAAAGCGGGAGAATGGGGCGGGGTGATGAAAAGCGGGAGAATGGGGCGGGGTGATGGAAAGTGGGAGAATGGGGCGGGGTGATGGAAAGCGGGAGAACGGGGCGGGTGATGGAAAGCGGGTGAATGGGGCAGGGTGATGGAAAGCGGGAGAATGGGGCGGGGTGATGGAAAGCAGAAGAATGGGGCGGGGTGATGGAAAGCGGGAGAATGGGGCGAGGTGATGGAAAGCGGGAGAATGGGACGGGTGATGGAAAGCGGGAGAATGGGGCGGGGAGATGGAAAGCGGGAGAAAGGGGCGGGGTGATGGAAGGAGGGAGAATGGTTAGGGGTGATGGAAAGCGGGGGAATGGGGCGGGATGATGGGAAGCGGAAGAATGGGGCGGGGTGATGGAAAGCGGGAGAATGGGGCAGTGTGATGGAAAGCGGGAGAATGGGGCGGGGAGATGGAAAGCGGGAGAAAGGGGCGGGGTGATGGAAAGCGGGAGAATGGGGCGGGCTGATGGAAAGCGGGAGAATGGGGCGGGGTGATGGAAGGAGGGAGAATGGGGCGGGGTGATGGAAGGAGAGAGAAGGGGTCGGGGTGATGGAAAGTGGGAAAATGTGGCGGGGTGATGGAAAGCGGGAGAATGGGGCGGGGTGATGGAACGCGGGAGAATGGAGCAGGGTGATGGAAGGAGGGAGAATGGGGCGGGGTGATGGAAGGAGGGAGAATGGGGCGGGGTGATGGAAAGCGGGAGAATGGGGCGGGGTGATGGAAGGAGGGAGAATGGGGCGGGGTGATGGAAAGCGGGAGAATGGGGCGGGGTGATGGAAAGCGGAAGAATGGGGCGGGGTGATTGAAAGCGGGAGAATGGGGCGGGATGATGGAAAGCGATAGAATGGGGCGGGGTGATGGAACGCGGGAGAATGGGGCGAGGTGATGGAAAGCGGGAGAATAGGGCGGGTGATGGAAAGTGGAAGAATGGGGCGGGGCGATGGAAAGCGTGAGAATGGGGCGGGGTGATGGAAAGCGGGAGAATGGGACGGGGAGATGGAAAGCGGGATAATGGGGCGGGGTGATGGAAAGCGGGAGAATGGGGCGGGGTGATGGAAAGCGGGAGAATTGGGCGGGTTGATGGAAAGCGGGAGAGTGGGGCGGGGTGATGGAAAGCGGGGTGATGGAAAGCGGGAGAATGGGGCGGGGTGATAGAAATAGGGAGAATAGGGCGGGGTGATGGAGAGCGGGAGAACGGGGCAGGCTGATGGAAAGAGGGGGAATGGGGCAGGGTGATGGAAAGAGGGAGAATGGGACGGGGTGATGAAAAGCGGAAGAATGGGGCGGGGCGATGGAAAGAGGAAGGATGGGGTGGGGTGATGGAAAGAGGGAGAATGGGGCGGGGTGATGAAAAGAGGGAGAATGGGGCGGGGTGATGGAAAGCGGGAGAATGGGGCGGGGTGATGGAAAACGGGAGAATGGGGTGGGGTGATGGAAAGCGGGAGAATGGGGCGGGGTGATGGAAAGCGGGAGAATGGGGCGGGTTGATGGAAAGAGGGAGAATGGGGCGGGGTGATGGAAAGCGGGAGAATGGGGCGGGGTGATGGAAAGAGGGAGAATGGGGCGGGGTGATGGAAAGCGGGAGAACGGGGCGGGGTGATGGAAAGAGGGAGAATGGGGAGGGGTGATGGAAAGAGGGAGAATTGGGCGGGGTGATGGAATGCGGGAGAATGGAGCGGGGTGATGGAAAGCGGGAGAATGGGGCGGGGTGATGGAAAGCGGGAGAATGGGGCGGGGTGATGGAAAGAGGGAAAATGGGGCGTGGTGATGGAAAGCGGGAGAATGGGGTGGTGTGATGAAAAGCGGGAGAATGAGGCGGGGTGATGGAAAGAGGGAGAATAGGGCGGGGTGATGGAAAGAGGAAGAATTGGGCGGGGTGATGGAAAGAGGGACAATGGGGCGGGGTGGTGGAAAGCGGGAGAATGGGGCGGGGTGATGGAAAGCGGGAGAATGGGGCGGGGTGATGGAAAGAGGGACAATGGGGCGGGGTGATGGAAAGCGGGAGAATGGGGCGGGGTGATGGAAAGCGGGAGAATGGGGCGGGGTGATGGAAAGAGGGAGAATGGGGCGGGGTGATGGAAAGCGGGAGAATGGGGCGGGGTGATGGAAATAGGGAGAATGGGGTGGGGTGATGGAAAGAGGGATAATGGGGAGGGGTGATGGAAAGAGCGAGAACTGGGCGGGGTGATGGAAAGCGGGAGAATGGAGCGGGGTGATGGAAAGCGGGAGAATGGGGTGGGGTGATGGAAAGCGGGAGAATGGGGCGGGGTGATGGAAAGCGGGAGAATGGAGCGCGGTGATGGAAAGAGGGAGAATAGGGCGGGGTGATGGAAAGAGGGAGAATGGGGCGGGGTGATGGAAAGCGGGAGAATGGGGCGGGGTGATGGAAAGCGGGAGAATGGGGAGGGGTGATGGAAAGCGGGAGAATGGGGCGGTGTGATGGAAAGCGGGAGAATAGGGCGGGGTGATGGATAGAGGGAGAATGGGGCGGTGTGATGGAAAGCGGGAGAATGGGGCGGGGTGATGGAAAGAGGGATAATGAGGCGCGGTGATGGAAAGCGGGAGAATGTGGCGGGGTGATGGAAAGAGGGAGAATGGGGAGGGGTGATGGAAAGAGGGAGAATTGGGCGGGGTGATGGAAAGAGGGAGAATGGGGCGGGGTGATGGAAAGCGGGAGAATGGGGCTGGGTGATGGAAAGTAGGAGAATGGGGCTGGGTGATGGAAAGCGGGAGAATGGGGTAGGGTGATGGAAAGAGGAAGAATAGGGCGGGGTGATGGAAAGCGGGAGAATGGGGCGGGGTGAAGGAAAGCGGGAGAATGGGGCGGGGTGATGGAAAGCAGGAGAATGGGGTGGGGTGATGGAAAGAGGGAGAATGGGGCGGGGTGATGGAAAGAGGGAGAATAGGGCGGGGTTATGGAAAGAGGGAGAATGGGGCGGGGTGATGAAAAAGCGGGAGAATGGGGCGGGGTAATGGAAAGCGGGAGAATGGGGCGGGGTGATGGAAAAGGGGAGAATGGGGCGGGCTGATGGAAACAGGGAGAATGGGGCGGGGTGATGGAAAGCGGAAGAATGGGGCGGGGTGATTGAAAGCGGGAGAATGGGGCGGGTTGATGGAAAGCGGGAGAATGGGGCGGGGTGATGGAGAGAGGGAGAATGGGGCGGGGAGATGGAAAGAGGGAGAATGGGGCGGGGTGATGGAAAGCGGAAAAATAGGGCGGGGTGATGGAAAGCGGGAGAATGGGGCGGGGTGATGGAAAGCGGGAGAATGGGGCGGGGTGATGGAAAGCGGGAGAATGAGGCGGGGTGATGGAAAGAGGGAGAATGGCTTGGGGTGATGGAAAGCGGGAGAATGGGGCGGGGTGATGGAAAGCGGGAGAATGGGGCGGGGTGATGGAAAGAGGGAGAATGGGGCGGGGTGATGGAAAGCGGGAGAATGGGGCGGGGTGATGGAAAGCGGGAGAATGGGGAGGGGTGATGGAAAGCGGGAGAATGGGGCGGTGTGATGGAAAGCGGGAGAATAGGGCGGGGTGATGGATAGAGGGAGAATGGGGCGGTGTGATGGAAAGCGGGAGAATGGGGCGGGGTGATGGAAAGAGGGATAATGAGGCGGGGTGATGGAAAGCGGGAGAATGTGGCGGGGTGATGGAAAGAGGGAGAATGGGGAGGGGTGATGGAAAGAGGGAGAATTGGGCGGGGTGATGGAAAGCGGGAGAATGGAGCGGGGTGGTGGAAAGCGGGAGAATGGGGCGGGGTGATGGAAAGAGGGAGAATGGGGCGGGGTGATGGAAAGCGGGAGAATTGGGTTGGGTGATGGAAAGAAGGAGAATGGGGCTGGGTGATGGAAAGCAGGAGAATGGGGCAGGGTGATGGAAAGAGGGAGAATAGGGGGGGGTGATGGAAAGCGGGAGAATGGGGCGGGGTGATGGAAAGCGGGAGAATGGGGTGGGGTGATGGAAAGCGGAAGAATGAGGCGGGTTGATGGAAAGCGGAAGAATAGGGCGGGGTGATGGAAAGCGGGAGAATGGGGTGGGGTGATGAAAAGAGGGAGAATGTTGCGGGGTGATGGAAAGAGGGAGAATAGGGCGGGGTTATGGAAAGAGGGAGAATGGGGCGGGGTGATGAAATAGCGGGAGAATGGGGCGGGGTGATGGAAAGCGGGAGAATGGGGCGGGGTGATGGAAAGAGGGAGAATGGGGCGGGCTGATGGAAAGAGGGAGAATGGGGCGGGGTGATGGAAAGCGGAAGAATGGGGCGGGGTGATTGAAAGCGGGAGAATGGGGCGGGATGATGGAAAGCGGGAGAATGGGGCGGGGTGATGGAGAGAGGGAGAATGGGGCGGGGAGATGGAAAGAGGGAGAATGGGGCGGGGTGATGGAAAGCGGAAGAATGGGGCGGGGTGATGGAAAGCGGGAGAATGGGGCGGGGTGATGGAAAGCGGGAGAATGGGGCGGGGTGATGGAAAGCGGGAGAATGGGTTGGGGAGATGGAAAGCGGGAGAATGGGGCGGGGTGATGGAAAGAGGAAGAAAGGGGCGGGGTGATGGAAAGCGGGAGAATAGGGCGGGATGATGGAAAGCGTGAGAATGGGGAAGGGGTGATGGAAAGAGGGAGAATGGGGCGGGGTGATGGAAAGCAGGAGAATGGGGCGGGGTAATGGAAAGCGGGAGAATGGGGCGGGGTGATGGGAAGAGGGAGAATAGGGCGAGGTGATGGAAAGAGGGAGAATGGGGCGGGGTGATGGAAAGAGGGAGAATGGGGCGGGGTGATGGAAAGCGGGAGAATGGGGCGGGGTGATGGAAAGCGGGGTGATGGAAAGCGGGAGAATGGGGCGGGGTGATAGAAATAGGGAGAATAGGGCGGGGTGATGGAGAGCGGGAGAATGGGGCAAGCTGATGGAAAGAGGGGGAATGAGGCGGGGTGATGGAAAGAGGGAGAATGGGATGGGGTGATGAAAAGCGGAAGAATGGGACGGGGCGATGGAAAGAGGGAGGATGGGGTGGGGTGATGGAAAGAGGGAGAATGGGGCGGTGTGATGAAAAGAGGGAGAATGGGGCGGGGTGATGGAAAGCGGGAGAATAGGGCGGGGTCATGGAAAACGGGAGAATGGGGTGGGGTGATGGAAAGCGGGAGAATGGGGCGGGGTGATGGAAAGTGGGAGAATGGGGCGGGGTGATGGAAAGAGGGAGAAAGGGGCGGGGTGATGGAAAGCGGGAGAATGGGGCGGGGTGATGGAAAGCGGGAGAATGGGGCGGGGTGATGGAAAGCGGGAGAATGGTGCGGGGTGATGGAAAGCGGGAGAATGGGGCAGGGTGATGGAAAGCGGGAGAATGGGGCGGGGTGATGGAAAGCGGGAGAATGGGGCGGGGTGATGGAAAGCTTGAGAATAGGGTGGGGTGATGGAAAGCGGGAGAATGGGGCGGAGTGATGGAAAGCGGGAGAATGGGGCGGGGTGATGGAAAGCGGGAGAATGGGGCGGGGTGATGGAAAGCGGGAGAATGGGGCGGGGTGATGGAAAGCGGGAGAATGGGGCGGGGTGATGAAAAGCGGAAGAATGGGGCGGGGTTGTTGTGATGCAAACATATGCATTCACGTCTGTCTGCCTCCATCAAGTGTTCGTGTGTTGCAAGCGTGGTGTGAACGTGTGCAAGAATTTGTGTTTTGCACGGTTTGGATTTTTCGAGTGTGTGTGGATGATGTTTGGCTTGGGCAGATATCTGAAGTGACAGCTCTACTCAAGATCTTTCCGAGGAGCCAAGAATCGTCGTGATCGGAGAAATATCAAGAAAGTTACGAACGTTGGGGTTCGTATGCTTTCTGTACTTCGGTTGTGGCGACTATGGGAAGTTGTGGGGTTGACTCAATATGGGGTACAGACTTTTGGGGGTTGGGAATTCGAACCCATCACTGTAGAATGCTGCCATGTGGTTGGGTGAAGCCAAACCAGGTTGGCAAGTGTGGCCAAGTGGGTTGAGGTGGATGGCATGAGTTGGGAAAGTGACAAATGTGAAAGTGGGGTTGCCTATGGGGAAGGGAATTGTGTGGCATGGGGTTTCCTTGGTTGGGGAATCTCTTGGGACCTTCCCTCTCGTCCTCCTCTTCCCTCCTTCCTGGTTTAGTGCTACCCTAACTCTCTTGTGTGCACTTTTGTGGAACTTATGAGTTAATTGTGATTGAGTTAAATTTCTGTGGCAGCATACCCCCTAGTGCGCCGAAACGCATAACTCGAGATATGCATCATAGTGTTTAGCGCCGAAACGCCGAAACGCATAACGCCGAAACGCCCCATTCTCCCACTTTCCATCACCCCGCCCCATTCTCCCGCTTTCCATCACCCCGCCCCATTGTCCCGCTTTCCATCACCCCGCCCCATTCTCCCGCTTTCCATCACCCCGCCCCATTCTCCCTCTTTCCATCACCCCGCCCCATTCTCCCTCTTTCCATCATCCCACCCCATTCTCCCTATTTCCATCACCCTGCCCCATTCTTCCGCTTTCCATCACCCCGCCCCATTCTCCAGCTTTCCATCACCCCGCCCCATTCTCCCGCTTTCCATCACCCCGCCCCATTCTCCCGCTTTCCATCACCCCGCCCCATTCTTCCGCTTTCCATCACCCCGCCCCATTCTTCCGCTTTCCATCACCCTGCCCCATTCTCCAGCTTTCCATCACCCCGCCCCATTCTCCCGCTTTCCATCACCTCGCCCCATTCTCCCTCTTTTCATCACCCCGCCCCATTCTCCCTCTTTCCATCACCCCGCCCCATTCTCCCTCTTTCCATCACCCCACCCCATTCTCCCTTTTTCCATCACCCCGCCCCATTCTCCCGCTTTCCATCACCCCGCCCCATTCTCCCTCTTTCCATCACCCCGCCCCATTCTTCCGCTTTCCATCACCCCGCCCCATTCTCCCTATTTCCATCACCCCGCCCCATTCTTCCGCTTTCCATCACCCCGCCCCATTCTCCAGCTTTCCATCACCCCGCCCCATTCTCCCGCTTTCCATCACCCCGCCCCATTCTCCCGCTTTCCATCACCCCGCCCCATTCTCCCGCTTTCCATCACCCCGCCCCATTCTCCCGCTTTCCATCACCCCGCCCCATTCTTCCGCTTTCCATCACCCTGCCCCATTCTCCAGCTTTCAATCACCCCGCCCCATTCTCCCGCTTTCCATCACCCCGCCCCATTCTCCCTCTTTTCATCATCCCGCCCCATTCTCCCTCTTTCCATCACCACGCCCCATTCTCCCTCTTTCCATCACCCCACCCCATTCTCCCTATTTCCATCACCCCGCCCCATTCTCCCGCTTTCCATCACCCCGCCCCATTCTCCCTCTTTCCATCACCCCGCCCCATTCTCTCTCTTTCCATCACCCCGCCCCATTCTCCCTCTTTCCATCACCCCGCCCCATTCTCCCGCTTTCCATCACCCTGCCCCATTCTCCCGCTTTCCATCATCCCGCCCCATTCTCCCTCCTTCCATCACCCCGCCCCATTCTCCCGCTTTCCATTACCCTGCCCCATTCTCCCGCTTTCCATCACCCCGCCCCATTCTCCCTCTTTCCATCACCCCGCCCCATTCTCACGCTTTCCATCATCCCGCCCCATTCTCCCGCTTTCCATCACCCTGCCCCTTTCTTCCTCTTTCCATCACCCCGCCCCATTCTCCCGCTTTCCATCTCCGCGCCCCATTCTCCCGCTTTCCATCACCCCGCCCCATTCTCCCGCTTTCCATCACCCCGCCCCATTCTTCCGCTTTCCATCACCCCGCCCAATTCTCCCTCTTTCTATCACCCCTCCCCATTCTCCCGCTTTCCATCACCCCGCCCCATTCTACCGCTTTCCATCATCCCGCTCCATTGTCCCGCTTTCCATCACCCCGTCCCATTATCCCTCTTTCCATCACCCCGCCCCATTCTCCCGCTTTCCATCACCCCGCCCCATTCTTCCTCTTTCCATCTCCCCGCCCCATTCTCCCTCTTTCCATCACCCCGCCCCATTCTCCCTCTTTCCATCACCCCGCCCCATTCTCCCTCTTTCCATCACCCCGCCCTATTCTCCCGATTTCGTCACCCCGCCTTATTCTTCCTCTTTCCATCACCCCGGCCCATTCTTCCTCTTTCCATCTCCCCGCCCCGTTCTCCCTCTTTCCATCACCCCGCCCCATTCTCCCTCTTTCCATCACCCCGCCCCATTCTTCCGATTTCCGTCACCCCGCCCCATTCTCCCTCTTTCCATCACCCCGCCCCATTCTCACTCTTTCCATAACCCCGCCCCATTCTCCCGATTTCCATCACCCCGCCCCATTCTCACGCTTTCCATCACCCCGCCCCATTCTCCCTCTTTCCATCACCCGCCCCATTCTCCCGCTTCCCATCACCCCGCCCCATTCTCCCTCTATCCATCACCCCGCCCCATTCTCCCTCTATCCATCACCCCGCCCCATTCTCCCACTTTCCATCACCCCGCCCCATTCTCCCGCTTTCCATCACCCCGCGCCATTTTCCCTCTTTCCATCACCCCGCCCCATTCTCCCACTTTCCATCACCCCGCCCCTTTCTCCCTCTTTCCATCACCCCGCCCCATTCTCCCGCTTTCCATCACCCCGCCCCATTCTCCCGCTTTCCATCTCCCCACCCCATTCTCCCGTTTTCCATCACCCCGCCCCATTCTCCCCCTTTCCATCACCCCGCCCCATTCTCCCTCTTTCCATCACCCTGCCCCATTGTCCCGCTTTCCATCACCCCACCCCATTCTCCCTCTTTCCATCGCCCCGCCCCATTCTTCCGCTTTTCATCACCCCGCCCCATTCTCCCTCTTTCCATCACCCCACCCCATTCCCCCTCTTTCCATCAGCCTGCCCCATTCTCCCGCTCTCCATCACCCCGCCCTATTCTCCCTATTTCTATCACCCCGCCCCATTCTCCCGCTTTCCATCACCCCGCCCCATTCTCCCGCTATCCATCACCCCGCCCCATTCTCCCGCTTTCCATCACCCCGCCCCATTCCCGCTTTCCATCACCCCGCCCCATTCTCCCGCTTTCCATCACCCCGCCCCATTCTCCCGCTTTCCATCACCCCGCCCCATTCTCCCGTTTTCCATCACCCCGCCCCATTCTCCCCCTTTCCATCACCCCGCCCCATTCTCCCTCTTTTCATCACCCCGCCCTATTCTCCCTCTTTCTATCACCCCACCCCATTCTCCCTCTTTCCATCGCCCCGCCCCATTCTTCCGCTTTTCATCACCCCGCCCCATTCTCCCTCTTTCCATCACTCCGCCCCATTCCCCCTCTTTCCATCAGCCTGCCCCATTCTCCCGCTCTCCATCACCCCGCCCTATTCTCCCTATTTCTATCACCCCGCCCCATTCTCCCGCTTTCCATCACCCCGCCCCATTCTCCCGCTATCCATCACCCCGCCCCATTCTCCCGCTTTCCATCACCCCGCCCCATTCCCGCTTTCCATCACCCCGCCCCATTCTCCCGCTTTCCATCACCCCGCCCCATTCTCCCGCTTTCCATCACCCCGCCCCATTCTCCCGCTTTCCATCACCCCGCCCCATTCTCCCGGTTTCCATCACCCTGCCCCATTCTCCCGCTTTCCATCACCCCAAGCCATTCTCCCTCTTTCCATCACCCCGCCTCATTCTCCGGCTTTCCATCACCCCGCCCCATTCTCCCGCTTTCCATCACCCCGCCCCATTGTCCCTCTTTCCATCACCCCGCCCCATTCTCCCTCTTTCCATCACCCTGCCCCATTCTCCCTCTTTCCATCACCCCACCCCATTCTCCCGCTTTCAATCAACCCGCCCCATTCTCCCGCTTTCCATCACCCCGCCCCATTCTCCCGCTTTCCATCACCCCGCCCCATTCTCCCGCTTTCCATCACCCCGCCCCATTCTCCCACTTTCCATCAACCCGCCCCATTCTCCCTCTTTCCATCACCCCGCCCTAATCTCCCTCTTTCCATCACCCCGACCCATTCTCCCGCTTTCCATCACCCCGCCCCATTCTCCCTCTTTCCATCAGCCCGCCCAATTCTCACGCTTTCCATCACCCCGTCCCATTCTCCCGCTTTCCATCACCCCACCCCATTCTCCCTCTTTCCATTCCCCCGCCCCATTCTCCCGCTTTCCATGACCCTGCCCCATTCTCCCGCTTTCCATCACCCCGCTCCATTCTCCCGCTTTTCATCACCCCGCCCAATTCTCCCTCTTTTCATCACCCCTCCCCATTCTCCCTCTTTCCATCACCTCGCCCCATTCTCCCGCTTTCTATCACCCCACCCCATTCTCCCTCTTTCCATCACCCCGCCCCATTCTCCCGATTTCCATCACCCCGCCCCATTCTCCCGCTTTCCATCACCCCGCCCCATTCTCCCTCTTTCCATCAGCCCGCCCCATTCTCCCTCTTTCCATCACCCCGCCCCATTCTCCCGCTTTCCATCACCCCGCCCCATTCTCCCGCTTTCCATCACCCCGCCCCATTCTCCCTCTTTCCATCACCCTGCCCCATTCTCCCTCTATCCATCACCCCGCCAAATTCTCCCGCTTTCAATCACCCCGCCCCATTCTCCCTCTATCCATCACCCCACCCAATTCTTCTCTTTCCATCACCCCGCCCCATTCTCCCGCTTTCCATCACCCCGCCCAATTCTCCCTCTTTTCATCACCCCTCCCCATTCTCCCTCTTTCCATCACCTCGCCCCATTCTCCCTCTTTCCATCACCCCGCCCCATTCTCCCTCTTTCCATCACCTCGCCCCATTCTCCCTCTTTCCATCACCCCGCCCCATTCTCCCGCTTTCCATCACCCCGCCCCATTCTCCCGCTTTCCATCACCCCGCCCCATTCTCCCGCTTTCCATCACCCCGCCCCATTCTCCCGCTTTCCATCACCCCGCCCCATTCTTCCGCTTTCCATCACCCTGCCCCATTCTCCAGCTTTCCATCACCCCGCCCCATTCTCCCGCTTTCCATCACCCCGCCCCATTCTCCCTCTTTTCATCATCCCGCCCCATTCTCCCTCTTTCCATCACCCCGCCCCATTCTCCCTCTTTCCATCACCCCACCCCATTCTCCCTATTTCCATCACCCTGCCCCATTCTCCCGCTTTCCATCACCCCGCCCCATTCTCCCTCTTTCCATCGCCCCGCCCTATTCTCTCTCTTTCCATCACCCCGCCCCATTCTCCCTCTTTCCATCACCCCGCCCCATTCTCCCGCTTTCCATCACCCCTACCCATTCTCCCTCCTTCCATCACCCCGCCCCATTCTCCCTCCTTCCATCGCCCCGCCCTATTCTCCCTCCTTCCATTACCCCGCCCCATTCTCCCGCTTTCAATCACCCCGCCCCATTCTCCCACTTTCCATCACCCCGTCCCATTCTCCCGCTTTCCAACACCCCGCCCCATTCTCCCGCTTTCCATCACCCCGCCCCATTCTCCCGCTATCGATCACCCCGCCCGATTCTCCCGCTTTCCATCACCCCGCCCCATTCTCCCGCCTTCCATCACCCCGCCCCATTCTCCCGCTTTCCATCACCCCGCCCCATTCTCCCGCTTTCCATCACCCCGCCCCATTCTCCCTCCTCCCATCACCCCGCCCCTTTCCCCCTCCTTCCATCACCCCGCCCCATTCTCCCGCTTTCCATCACCCCGCCCCATTCTCCCGCTTTCTATCACCCCACCCCATTCTCCATCTTTTCATCACCCCGCCCCGTTCTCCCGCTTTCCATCACCCCGCACCATTCTCCCGCTTTCCATCACCCCGCACCATTCTCCCGCTTTCCATCACTCCGCCCCATTCCCCCTCCTTCCATCACCCCGCCCCATTCTCCTGCCTTCCATCACCCCGCCCCATTCTCCCGCTTTCCATCACCCCGCCCCATTCTCCCGCTTTCCATCACCCCGCCCCATTCTCCCTCCTCCCATCACCCCGCCCCATTCCCCCTCCTTCCATCACCCCGCCCCATTCTCCCGCTTTCCATCACCCCGCCCCATTCTCCCGCTTTCTATCACCCCACCCCATTCTCCATCTTTTCATCACCCCGCCCCGTTCTCCCGCTTTCCATCACCCCGCACCATTCTCCCGCTTTCCATCACCCCGCCCCATTCTCCCTCCTTCCATCACCCCGCCCCATACTCCCGCTTTCCATCACCCCGCCTCATTCTCCCGCTTCCCATAACCCCACCCCATTCTCCCGCTTTCCATCACCCCGCCACATTCTCCCGCTTTCTATCACCCCGCCCCATTCTCCCTCCTTCCATCAACCCGCCCCATTCTCCCGCTTTCCATCACCCCGCCCCATTCTCCCGATTTCCATCACCCCGCCCCATTCTCCCGCTTTCCATCACCCCGCCCCATTCTCCCGCTTTCCATCACCCTGCCCCATTCTCCCGCTTTCCATCATCCCGCCCCATTCTCCCTCCTTCCATCACCCCGCCCCATTCTCCCGCTTTCCATCACCCCACCCCATTCTCCCTCTTTCCATCACCCCGCCCCATTCTCACGCTTTCCATCATCCCGCCCAATTCTCCCGCTTTCCATCACCCCGCCCCTTTCTTCCTCTTTCCATCACCCCGCCCCATTCTCCCGCTTTCCATCTCCGCGCCCCATTCTCCCGCTTTCCATCACCCCGCCCCATTCTCCCGCTTTCCATCACCCCGCCCCATTCTTCCGCTTTCCATCACCCCGCCCAATTCTCCCTCTTTCTATCACCCCTCCCCATTCTCCCGCTTTCCATCACCCCGCCCCATTCTACCGCTTTCCATCATCCCGCTCCATTGTCCCGCTTTCCATCACCCCGTCCCATTATCCCTCTTTCCATCACCCCGCCCCATTCTCCCGCTTTCCATCACCCCTCCCCATTCTTCCTCTTTCCATCTCCTCGCCCCATTCTCCCTCTTTCCATCACCCCGCCCCATTCTCCCTCTTTCCATCACCCCGCCCCATTCTCCCTCTTTCCATCACCCCGCCCCATTCTCCCGATTTCGTCACCCCGCCCCATTCTTCCTCTTTCCATCACCCCGGCCCATTCTTCCTCTTTCCATCTCCCCGCCCCGTTCTCCCTCTTTCCATCACCCCGCCCCATTCTCCCTCTTTCCATCACCCCGCCCCATTCTCCCGATTTCCGTCACACCGCCCCATTCTCCCTCTTTCCATCACCCCGCCCCATTCTCACTCTTTCCATAACCCCGCCCCATTCTCCTGATTTCCATCACCCTGCCCTATTCTCACGCTTTCCATCACCCCGCCCCATTCTCCCTCTTTCCATCACCCGCCCCATTCTCCCGCTTCCCATCATCCCGCCCCATTCTCCCTCTATCCATCACCCCGCCCCATTCTCCCACTTTCCATCACCCCGCCCCATTCTCCCGCTTTCCATCACCCCGCGCCATTTTCCCTCTTTCCATCACCCCGCCCCATTCTCCCACTTTCCATCACCCCGCCCCTTTCTCCCTCTTTCCATCACCCCGCCCCATTCTCCCGCTTTCCATCACCCCGCCCTATTCTCCCGCTTTCCATCACCCCACCCCATTCTCCCGTTTTCGATCACCCCGCCCCATTCTCCCCCTTTCCATCACCCCGCCCCATCCTCCCTCTTTCCATCACCCTGCCCCATTGTCCCGCTTTCCATCACCCCACCCCATTCTCCCTCTTTCCATCGCCCCGCCCCATTCTTCCGCTTTTCATCACCCCGCCCCATTCTCCCTCTTTCCATCACCCCACCCCATTCCCCCTCTTTCCATCAGCCTGCCCCATTCTCCCGCTCTCCATCACCCCGCCCTATTCTCCCAATTTCTATCACCCCGCCCCATTCTCCCGCTTTCCATCACCCCGCCCCATTCTCCCGCTATCCATCACCCCGCCCCATTCTCCCGCTTTCCATCACCCCGCCCCATTCCCGCTTTCCATCACCCCGCCCCATTCTCCCGCTTTCCATCACCCCGCCCCATTCTCCCGCTTTCCATCACCCCGCCCCATTCTCCCGTTTTCCATCACCCCGCCCCATTCTCCCCCTTTCTCTCACCCCGCCCCATTCTCCCTCTTTTCATCACCCCTCCCTATTCTCCCTCTTTCTATCACCCCACCCCATTCTCCCTCTTTCCATCGCCCCGCCCCATTCTTCCGCTTTTCATCACCCCGCCCCATTCTCCCTCTTTCCATCACCCCGCCCCATTCCCCCTCTTTCCATCAGCCTGCCCCATTCTCCCGCTCTCCATCACCCCGCCCTATTCTCCCTATTTCTATCACCCCGCCCCATTCTCCCGCTTTCCATCACCCCGCCCCATTCTCCCGCTATCCATCACCCCGCCCCATTCTCCCGCTTTCCATCACCCCGCCCCATTCCCGCTTTCCATCACCCCGCCCCATTCTCCCGCTTTCCATCACCCCGCCCCATTCTCCCGCTTTCCATCACCCTGCCCCATTCTCCCGCTTTCCATCACCCCAAGCCATTCTCCCTCTTTCCATCACCCCGCCTCATTCTCCCGCTTTCAATCACCCCGCCCCATTCTCCCGCTTTCCATCACCCCGCCCCATTGTCCCTCTTTCCATCACCCCGCCCCATTCTCCCTCTTTCCATCACCCTGCCCCATTCTCCCTCTTTCCATCACCCCACCCCATTCTCCCGCTTTCAATCACCCCGCCCCATTCTCCCGCTTTCCATCACCCCGCCCCATTCTCCCGCTATCCATCACCCCGCCCCATTCTCCCGCTTTCCATCACCCCGCCCCATTCCCGCTTTCCATCACCCCGCCCCATTCTCCCGCTTTCCATCACCCCGCCCCATTCTCCCGCTTTCCATCACCCTGCCCCATTCTCCCGCTTTCCATCACCCCAAGCCATTCTCCCTCTTTCCATCACCCCGCCTCATTCTCCCGCTTTCCATCACCCCGCCCCATTCTCCCGCTTTCCATCACCCCGCCCCATTGTCCCTCTTTCCATCACCCCGCCCCATTCTCCCTCTTTCGATCACCCTGCCCCATTCTCCCTCTTTCCATCACCCCACCCCTTTCTCCCGCTTTCAATCACCCCGCCCCATTCTCCCGCTTTCCATCACCCCGCCCCATTGTCCCTCTTTCCATCACCCCGCCCCATTCTCCCTCTTTCCATCAGCCTGCCCAATTCTCACGCTTTCCATCACCCCGTCCCATTCTCCCGCTTTCCATCACCCCGCCCCATTCTCCCTCTTTCCATTCCCCCGCCCCATTCTCCCGCTTTCCATGACCCTGCCCCATTCTCCCGCTTTCCATCACCCCGCTCCATTCTCCCGCTTTTCATCACCCCGCCCAATTCTCCCTGTTTTCATCACCCCTCCCCATTCTCCCTCTTTCCATCACCTCGCCCCATTCTCCCTCTTTCTGTCACCCCGCCCCATTCTCCCTGTTTCCATCACCTCGCCCCATTCTCCCTCTTTCCATCTCCCCGCCCCATTCTCCCGCTTTCCATCACCCCGCCCCATTCTCCCTCTTTCCATCACCCCGCCCCATATTCCCGCCTTTCATCACCCCGCCCCATTCTCCCGCTTTCCATCACCCCGCCCAATTCTCCCGCTTTCCATCACCCCGCCCCATTCTCCCGCCTTCCATCACCCCGCCCCATTCTCCCTCTTTCCATCACCCCGCCCCATTCTCACGCTTTCCATCACCCCGCCCCAATCTCCCTCTTTCCATCACCCCGCCCCATTCTCCCACTTTCCATCACCCCGCCCCATTCTCCCTCTATCCATCACCCCGCCCCATTCTCTCGCTTTCCATCACCCCGCCTTATTCTCCCGTTTTCCATCACCCCGCCCCATTCTCCCGATTTCCATCACCCCGCCCCATTCTCCCGCTTTCCATCACCCCGCCCCATTCTTCCGATTTCCATCACCCCGCCCCATTGTCCCTCTTTCCATCACCCCGCCCCATTCTCCCTCTTTCCATCAGCCTGCCCAATTCTCACGCTTTCCATCACCCCGTCCCATTCTCCCGCTTTCCATCACCCCGCCCCATTCTCCCTCTTTCCATTCCCCCGCCCCATTCTCCCGCTTTCCATGACCCTGCCCCATTCTCCCGCTTTCCATCACCCCGCTCCATTCTCCCGCTTTTCATCACCCCGCCCAATTCTCCCTCTTTTCATCACCCCTCCCCATTCTCCCTCTTTCCATCACCTCGCCCCATTCTCCCGCTTTCTATCACCCCACCCCATTCTCCCTCTTTCCATCACCCCGCCCCATTCTCCCGATTTCCATCACCCCGCCCCATTCTCCCGCTTTCCATCACCCCGCCCCATTCTCCCTCTTTCCATCAGCCCGCCCCATTCTCCCTCTCTCCATCACCCCGCCCCATTCTCCCGCTTTCCATCACCCCGCCCCATTCTCCCGCTTTCCATCACCCCGCCCCATTCTCCCTCTTTCCATCACCCTGCCCCATTCTCCCTCTATCCATCACCTCGCCCAATTCTCCCGCTTTCCATCACCCCGCTCCATTCTCCCTCTATCCATCACCCCACCCAATTCTTCTCTTTCCATCACCCCGCCCCATTCTCCCGCTTTCCATCACCCCGCCCAATTCTCCCTCTTTTCATCACCCCTCCCCATTCTCCCTCTTTCCATCACCTCGCCCTATTCTCCCTCTTTTTGTCACCCCGCCCCATTCTCCCTGTTTCCATCACCTCGCCCCATTCTCCCTCTTTCCATCTCCCCGCCCCATTCTCCCGCTTTCCATCACCCCGCCCCATTCTCCCTCTTTCCATCACCCCGCCCCATTCTCCCGCCTTTCATCACCCCGCCCCATTCTCCCGCTTTCCATCACCCCGCCCAATTCTCCCGCTTTCCATCACCCCGCCCCATTCTCCCGCCTTCCATCACCCCGCCCCATTCTCCCTCTTTCCATCACCCAGCCCCATTCTCACGCTTTCCATCACCCCGCCCCAATCTCCCTCTTTCCATCACCCCGCCCCATTCTCCCACTTTCCATCACCCCGCCCCATTCTCCCTCTATCCATCACCCCGCCCCATTCTCTCGCTTTCCATCACCCCGCCTTATTCTCCCGTTTTCCATCACCCCGCCCCATTCTCCCGATTTCCATCACCCCGCCCCATTCTCCCGCTTTCCATCACCCCGCCCCATTCTTCCGATTTCCATCACCCCGCCCCATTCTCCCGCTTTCCATCAACCCGCCCCATTCTCCCGCTTTCCATCACCCTGCCCCATTCTCACTCTTTCCATCACCCCTCCCAATTCTCCCTCTTTCCATCACCCCGCCCCATTCTCCTACTTTCTATCTCCCCGCCCCATTCTCCCTCTTTCCATCACCTCGCCCCATTCTCCCGCCTTCCATCACCCTGCCCCATTCTCCATCTTTCCATCACCCTGCCCAATTCTTCCCCTTTCCATCACCCCGCCCCATTCTGCCGCCATCCATCACCCCGCCCCATTCTCCCTCTTTCCATCACCCCGCCCTATTCTCTCGCTTTCCATCACCCCGCCCCATTTTCCCGATTTCCATCACCCCGCCCCATTCTCCCGCTTTCCATCACCCCGCCCCATTCTCCCGCTTTCCATCACCCCGCCCCATTCTCCCGCTTTCCATAACCCCGCCCCATTCTCCCGCTTTCCATCACCCTGCCCCATTCTCCCGCTTTCCATCACCCCGCCCCATTCTCCCGCTTTCCATCACCCCGCCCCATTCTCCCTCTTTCCATCACCCCGCCCCATTCTCCCGCTTTCCATCACCCTACCCCATTTTCACTCTTTCCATCACCCCGCTCCATTCTCCCGCTTTCCATCACCCCGCCCAATTCTCCCTCTTTCCATCACCCCTCCCCATTCTCCCTCTTTCCATCACCCCGCCCCATTCTCCCGCTTTCCATCACCCCGCCCCATTCTCCGTCTTTCCATCACCCGGCCCCATTCTCCTGCTTTCCATCACCCCGCTCCATTCTCCCGCTTTCAATCACCCCGCCCGCTCCATTCTCCCGCTTTCCAACACCCTGCCCCATTCTCACTCTTTCCATCACCCCTCCCCATTCTCCCTCTTTCAATCTCCCCGCACCATTCTCCTGCTTTCTATCACCCCGCCCCATTCTCCCTCTTTCCATCACCCCGCCCCATTCTCCCGCCTTCCATCACCCCGCCCCATTCTCCATCTTTCCATCACCCTGCCCAATTCTCCCCCTTTCCATCACCCCGCCCCATTCTCCCGCCTTCCATCACCCCGCCCCATTCTCCCTCTTTCCATCACCCCGCCCCATTCTCCCGCTTTCCATCACCCCGCCCCATTTTCCCGATTTCCATCACCCCGCCCCATTCTCCCGCTTTCCATCACCCCGCCCCATTCTCTCGCTTTCCATCACCCCGCCCCATTCTCCCGCTTTCCATCACCCCGCCCCATTCTCCCGCTTTCCATCACCCAGCCCCATTCTCCCTCTTTCCATCACCCCGCCCCATTCTCCCGCATTCCATCACCCTGCCCCATTTTCCCTCCTTCCATCACCCCGCTCCATTCTCCCGCTTTCCATCACCCCGCCCAATTCTCCCTCTTTCCATCACCCCTCCCCATTCTCCCTCTTTCCATCACCCCGCCCCATTCTCCCGCTTTCCATCACCCCGCCCCATTCTCCCTCTTTCCATCACCCCGCCCCATTCTCCCTCTTTCCATCACCCCGCCCCATTCTCCCGCTTTCCATCACCCCGCCCCATTCTCCCTCTTTCCATCACCCCGCCCCATTCTCCCGCTTTCCATCACCCCGCCCCATTCTCCCTCTTTCCATCACCACGCCCCATTTTCCCTCTTTCCATCACCCCGCCCCATTCTCCCGCTTTCCATCACCCCGCCCCATTCTCTCGCTTTCGATCACCCCGCTCCATTCTCCCGCTTTCCATCACCCCGCCCAATTCTCCCTCTTTCTATCACCCCTCTCCATTCTTCCTCTTTCCATCACCCCGCCCCATTCTCCCGCCTTTCATCACCCCGCCCCATTCTCCCGCTTTCCATCACCCCGCCCAATTCTCCCGCTTTCCATCACCCCGCCCAATTCTCCCGCCTTCCATCACCCCGCCCCATTCTCCCTCTTTCCACTACCCCGCCCCATTCTCACGCTTTCCATCACCCCACCCCATTGTCCCTCTTTCCATCACCCCGCCCCATTCTCCCGCTTTCCATCACCCCGCCCCATTCTCCCTCTATCCATCACCCCGCCCAATTCTCCCACTTTCCATCACCCCATCCCATTCTCCCGTTTTCCATCACCCCGCCCCATTCTCACGCTTTCCATCACCCCGCCTTATTCTCCCGCTTTCCATCACCCCGCCCCATTCTCCCGATTTCCATCACCCCGCCCCATTCTCCGCTTTCCATCACCCCGCCCCATTCTCCCGATTTCCATCACCCCGCCCCATTCTCCCGCTTTCCAACACCCTGCCCCATTCTCCCGCTTTCCATCACCCCACCCCATTCTCACTCTTTCCATCACCCCTCCCATTCTCCCTCTTTCCATCACCCCGCCCCATTCTCCTGCTTTCTATCACCCCGCCCCATTCTCCCTCTTTCCATCACCCCGCCCCATTCTCCCGCCTTCCATCACCCCGCCCCATTCGCCATCATTCCATCACCCTGCCCAATTCTCCCCCTTTCCATCACCCCGCCCCATTCTCCCGCCTTCCATCACCCCGCCCCATTCTCCCTCTTTCCATCATCCCGCCCCATTCTCCCGCTTTCCATCACCCCGCCCCATTTTCCCAATTTCCATCACCCCGCCCCATTCTCCCGCTTTCCATCACCCCGCCCCATTCTCCCGCTTTCCATCACCCCGCCCCATTCTCCCGCTTTCCATCACCCAGCCCCATTCTCCCGCTTTCCATCACCCCGCCCCATTCTCCCGCTTTCCATCACCCCGCCCCATTCTCCCTCTTTCCATCACCCCGCCCCATTCTCCCACATTCCTTCACCCCGCCCCATTTTCCCTCGTTCCATCACCCCGCTCCATTCTCCCGCTTTCCATCACCCCGCCCAATTCTCCCTCTTTCCATCACCCCTCCCCATTCTCCCTCTTTCCATCACCCCGCCCCATTCCCCCGCTTTCCATCACCACGCCCCATTCTCCCTCTTTCCACCACCCCGCCCCATTCTCCCTCTTTCCATCACCCCGCCCCATTCTCCCGCTTTCCATCACCCCGCCCCATTCTCCCTCTTTCCATCACCCCGCCCCATTCTCCCGCTTTCCATCACCCCGCCCCGTTCTCCCTCTTTCCATCACCCCGCTCCATTCTCCCGCTTTCCATCACCCCGCCCAATTCTCCCTCTTTCCATCACCCCGCCCCATTCTCCCTCTTTCCATCACCCCGCCCCATTCTCCCGCTTTCCAACACCCCGCTCCATTCTCCCGCTTTCCATCACCCCGCCCAATTCTCCCGCTTTCCATCACCACGCCCCATTTTCCCTCTTTCCATCACCCCGCCCCATTCTCCCGCTTTCCATCACCCCGCCCCATTCTCCCGCTTTCCATCACCCCGCTCCATTCTCCCGCTTTCCATCACCCCGCCCAATTCTCCCTCTTTCTATCACCCCTCTCCATTCTCCCTCTTTCCATCACCCCGCCCCATTCTCCCGCTTTCCATCACCCCGCCCCATTCTCCCTCTTTCCATCACCCCGCCCCATTCTCCCTCTTTCCATCACCCCGCCCCATTTTCTCGCTTTCCATCACCCCGCCCCATTCTCCCTCTTTCTATCACCCCGCCCCATTCTCCCGCTTTCTATCACCCCGCCTCATTCTCCTGCTTTCCATCACCCCGCTCCATTCTCCCGCTTTTGATCACCCCGCCCAATTCTCCCTCTTTCCATCACCCCTCCCCATTCTCCCTCTTTCCATCAACCCGCCCCATTCTCCCGCTTTCCATCACCCCGCCCCATTCTCCCTCTTTCCATCACCCCGCCCCATTCTCTCGCTTTCCATCACCCCGCCCCATTCTCCCTCTTTCCATCACCCCGCCCCATTCTCCCGCTTTCCATCACCCGCCCCATTCTCCCGCTTTCCATCATCCCGCCCCATTCTCCCTCTATCCATCACCTCGCCCCATTCTCCCGCCTTCCATCACCCCGCCCCATTCTCCCGCTTTCCATCACCCCACCCCATTCTCCTGCTTTCCCCCCACCCCATTCTCTCGATTTGCATCACCCCGCCCCATTCTCCCGCCTTCCATCACCCTGCCCCATTCTCCCTCTTTCCATCACCCCGCCCCATTCTCCCGCTTTCCATCACCCCGCCCCATTCTCCCTCTTTCTATCACCCTGCCCCATTCTCCCGCTTTCCATCACCCCGCCCGCTTTCCATCACCCCGCTCCATTCTCCCGATTTCCATCACCCCGCCCAATTCTCCCTCTTTCCATCACCCCTCCCCATTCTCCCTCTTTCCATCAAACCGCCCCATTCTCCCGCTTTCCATCACCCCGGCCCATTCTCCCTCTTTCCATCACCCCGCCCCATTCTCTCGCTTTCCATCACCCCGCCCCATTCTCCCTCTTTCCATCACCCCGCCCCATTCTCCCGCTTTCCATCACCCCACCCCATTCTCCCGATTTGCATCACCCCGCCCCATTCTCCCGCCTTCCATCACCCCGCCCCATTCTCCCTCTTTCCATCACCCCGCCCCATTCTCCCGCTTTCCATCACCCCGCCCCATTCTCCCTCTTTCCATCACCCCGCCCCATTCTCCCGCTTTCCATCACACCACCCCATTCTCCCGCTTTCCATCACCTCGCCCTATTTTCTCTCTTTCCATCACCCCGCTCCATTCTCCCGCTTTCCATCACCCCGCCCTATTCTCCCGCTTTCCATCACCCCGCACCATTCTCCCGCTTTCCATCACCCTGCCCCATTCTCCCGCTTTCCATCACCCCGTCCCATTCTCCCGCTTTCCATCACCCCTCCCCGTTCTCCCTCCTTCCATCACCCCGCCCCATTCTCCCGCTTTCCATCACACCGACCTATTCTCACGCTTTCCATCACCCCGCCCTATTCTCCTGCTTTCCATCACCCCGCCCCATTCTCCCTCCTTCCATCACCCCGCCCCATTCTCCCGCTTTCCATCAACCGCTCCATTCTCCCGCTTTCCATCACCCCGCCCCATTCTCCCGCTTTCCATCACCCCGCCCCATTCTTCCGCATTCCATCACCCCGCCCCATTTTCCCGCTTTGCGTCACCCCGCCCCATTCTCCCGCTTTCCATCACCCCGCCCCATTCTCCCGCTTTCCATCACCCCGCCCCATTCTCCCGCTTTCCATCACCCCGTCCCATTCTCCCGCTTTCCATGACCCCTCCCCATTCTCCCTCCTTCCATCATCCCGCCCCATTCTCCCGCTTTCCATCACACTGCCCTATTCTCACGCTTTCCATCACCCCGCCCCATTCTCCTGCTTTCCATCACCCCGCCCCATTCTCCCTCCTTCCATCACCCCGCCCCATTCTCCCTCCTTCCATAACCCCGCCCCATTCTCCCGCTTTCCATCACCCCGCCCCATTCTCCCGCTTTCCATCACCCCGCCCCATTCTCCCGCTTTCCCTCACCCCGCCCCAGTCTCCCGCATTTCATAGCCCCGCCCTATTCTCCCGCTCTCCATCACCTCGCCCCCTTCTCCCGCTTTCCATCACCCCGGCCCAATCTCCCTCCTTCCATCACCCCACCCCATTCTCCCTCCTTGCATCACCCCGCCCCATTCTCCCGCTTTCCATCACCCCGCCCCATTCTCCCGCTTTCCTTCACCCCGCCCCATTCTCCCGCTTTCCATCACCCCGCCCCATTCTCCCACTTTTCATCACTCCGCCCCATTCTCCTGCTTTCCATCACCCCGCCCCATTCTCCAGCTTTCCATCACCCCGCCCCATTCTCCCGCTTTCCATCACCCCGCCCCGTTCTCCCACTTTCTGTTGAGTGATGCTACCATATGCATTCACGTCTGTCTGCCTCCCATCATGTGTTCGTGCGTTGCATGCGTGGTGTGAGCGTATGCAAGAATTTGTGTTTGGTGTGGTTTGGATTCTCTGAGTGTGTCTGAATGTTATTTGGATTGAGCAGATATCTGAAGTTACTCCTCTGCTCAAGAGCTTTCTGTGAACCAAGTATCGCTTCAATCGGAGCACGAACAAGAAAGTTACGAACGTTGGGAGTTCGTATGCATTGCGTGTTTGATTGTGGTGACTATGGGAAATTGTGGGGTTGACTCAACATGGGGTACAGACTTGTGGGGGTTGGGGAATTCGTACCCATCACTGTAGATGCTGCCAAGTGGTTGGGAGAAACCAAACCAGGTTGGCAAGTGTGGCCAAGTTGGGTGAGGTGGATTTGGGAGGTTGGGATAATGACAAGGGTGAAAGTTGGGTTGCCTATTGAGACAGAAATTGTGTGGCATGGGGGTTTCCTTGGTTGGGGACTCCTTGTGACCTTCCCTCTCGTCCTCCTCTTCCCTCCTACCTGGTTTAGTGCCACTCTAACTCTCTTGTGTAGAACTTGTGAGAATTGTGAGAACTCTTGTGATTGAGTAAATTCTCTATGGCAGCATACCCCCCTGTGCGCCGAAATTCATAAGTCGAGAAATACTTCACCTTTGGATACGATTCAAATTGGAAAATGTAGCTACGGTCTAGGGCTACTACATATTGGAGTTTCGTGAAGTTTTGACGGTGCGTTTTGTGTCGACGGCGTTTCTTGTGAACTCGACGATTTTGTCCAGAAATTGAGACCAACGATTTTGATAAAGTTAGACACATAATCTTCATAGACTCCGTCCTTAGTCTGTAACAAGTGGTATCAGAGCTGATTAAGGACTTTGTGGAGAGTCTACTGAAGTGTGAAAACCCTCCCAGACCCACCATGGCCTGTGGGCGTGCCTAAGTGGAGTTGTGGAGGTTGCATGTGACTTCCGCTAAGGGGAAACTCTGCCGAAATTTCGTTGGCGCCGTCACTTGTGAAAATAATATGGATCTACATTGTGACCAGCAAAGGGGGGAGCTGAAACCTGTGATAAGGAGCTGAGGAGATGAGTCAAGGGAGTGGAGAAGCAGCTGAGAAGAAGAGTGAGCCGCCACCATCCAAGATTGAGGCATTGGATGGCTCCAACTATGAAGAATGGAGTGGGTGGATGAGGAGCGCCTTCAAGCGCTACAAGCTGCTGAAATTGGCTATGGGAGAGGAGAAGATGCCCAAGGAAGGAGATGCCCGCGATCTGTGGATTGAGCGAAGCGCGGTGCTGTACGACCTCATCCTTCAATCGGTGAACAACGACATGTTTCAGCACATCAAGGATTTGGTGGAGCTCGATGACTCCGGACCAAAGGCGTGGAAGCTACTGCGCGACGTGGTTCAGCCCAACATGCTGCCGATGGTGATCGTGTTGGAGAAGGAGCTGGCTGCCCTCTCCATGCGGCCGGGAGACGATGTGAAACCGGTGCTTGACAAGATCAAGGACACCTATGGGAGGATGGCAGCGGCGGGCAGCAAGGTGTCGGAGATGCAGCAGTGCACCAAGATCATCTCGGTGCTCGACAACTCGTGGGACAACCTTATCCCCACCCTCAACGTTCAGCAGGACAAGTGGACACCTGAGTGGCTACGGCAGCAGATCTTGCAGGAGGACTTCCGCAGGCGTCACACGGGAGGTGGTGCTGCCAACAAAACTGCTGAGGGGTGTGGAGCTGCAGCAGGCAGAGGAAGAGGGGGTGGGAGAGGCCGAGTCCGTGGGAGAGGCTTTGGCAGAGGAAGAGGTCGAGGTGACAACAACGAGGGGCATGGGAGCTCTGGTGGCAGGGGGAGCACCCGAATGGAGGGTGCGTGCTGGTACTGCAAGAAGGCTGGACACCCATGGTTCAAGTGTTTCAGCCGGCCTGAAGGATGGGCGCCTCCAGGCATGAAGCCGCCCAGTGGTGAACGCGCACGAGGTGGCGCTGTGCAAGGTTCAGGTGCACAAGGTGATGGTGCACAAGGTAAAGCCGACCCTGGGATATTCCTCATGGTTGAGGATGTGAAAGGGAGTGAGGGTGATGTGGGTTCAGTTGGGAAGGTTGTGATGCACCCCCTCACTCACTGGGTGATCGATTCAGGTTGCACGAGTCACATGACTCCGCGGGCAGATTTGCTTGATGAGGTGAAACCCCCCGGGAAGATAAAGTTTGTGGCTGCCGCTTCAGGTGCTTTGCTCTCTGTGATTGGTGTTGGGAATGCCAAGGTCATGGGAGCCAATGGGGGGCTTGTGGGGCTGGGGAATGTACTGTTGGTTCAAGGTTTGTCTGCTAACCTCCTCTCTGTGCGCCGGCTGCAGTGAAGCAAGGCCAAAGTTACGTTCGGCCCAACCAGCTGCCGTGCAAAGCTTGGGAAGTTGCTGTCTATTTTGCACACGCTATGCCCTTGTTGTTTTTATTTTGCACACGCTAGGCCCTTGTTCTTGCAATTTTGTTCTCGCTAGACCCCTGTTCTTGCAATTTTGCACACGCTAGGCCCTTGTTTTTGCCATTTTGCACATACTAGGCCCTTGTTCTTGCAATTTTGCACAGGCTAGGCCCTTGTTCTTGCTATTTCGCGAACGCTAGGCCCTTGTTCTTGATTTTTTGCACACGCTAGCCCTTGCTCTTGCTATTTTGCACTCGCTAGGCCCTTGTTCTTGCAATTTTGCACACGCTAGGCCCTTGTTCTTGCAATTTTGCACACGCTAGGCCCTTGTTCTTTTTATTTTGCACACGCTAGGCCCTTGTTCCTTTTATTTTGCACACGCTAGGCCCTTGTTCTTGCTATTTTGCACACGCTATGCTCTTGTTCTTCTTATTTTCCACACGCTAGGCCCTTGTTCTTGCAATTTTGCACACGCTAGACTTTTGTTCTTGCAATTTTGCACACGCTAGGCCCTTGCTCTTGCAATTTTGCACTCGCTAGGCCCTTGTTCTTGCAATTCTGCACACTCTAGGCCCTTGTTCTTGCTATTTTGCACACGCTAGGCCCTTGTTCTTTTTATTTTGCACGCGCTAGGCCCTTGTTCTTTTTATTTTGCACACGCTAGGCCTTTGTTCTTGCTATTTTGCACACGCTAGGCCCTTGTTCTTTTTATTTTGCACACGCTAGGCCCTTGTTCTTGCTATGTTGCACGCGCTATGCCCTTGTTGTTTATATTTTCCACACGCTAGGCCCTTGTTCTTGCAATTTTGTTCTCGCTAGACCCTTGTTCTTGCGATTTTGCACACGCTAGGCCCTTGTTCTTGCAATTTTGCGAACGCTAGGACCTTGTTCTTGATTTTTTGCACACGCTAGGCCCTTGCTCTTGCAATTTTGCACTCGCTAGGCCCTTGTTCTTGCAATTCTGCACACTCTAGGCCCTTGTTCTTGCTATTTTGCACACGCTAGGCCCTTGGTCTTTTTATTTTGCACACGCTAGGCCCTTGTTCTTTTTATTTTGCAAACGCTATGCCTTTGTTCTTGCTATTTTGCACACGCTATGCCCTTGTTCTTTTTATTTTGCACACGCTAGGCTATTGTTCTTTTTATTTTGCACACGCTAGGCCCTTGTTCTTGCTATTTTGCACACGCTATGCCCTGGTTCTTATTTATTTTGCACACGCTAGGCCCTTGTTCTTGCAATTTTGCACACGCTAGACCCTTGTTCTCGCAACTTTGCACACGCTAGGCCCTTGTTCTTGCTATTTCGCGAACGCTAGGCCCTTGTTCTTGATTTTTTGCACACGCGAGGCCCTTGCTCTTGCAATTTTGCACTCGCTAGGCCCTTGTTCTTGCAATTCTGCACACTCTAGGCCCTTGTTCTTGCTATTTTGCACACGCTAGGCCCTTGTTCTTTTTATTTTGCACACGCTAGGCCCTTGTTCTTTTCATTTTGCACACGCTAGGCCCTTGTTCTTGCTATTTTGCACACGCTATGCCTATGTTCTTTTTATTTTACACACGCTAGGCCCTTGTTCTTGCAATTTTGCACTCGCTAGACCCTTGTTCTTGCGATTTTGCACATGCTAGGCCCTTGTTCTTGCCATTTTGCACATACTAGGCCCTTGTTCTTGCAATTTTACACACGCTAGGCCCTTGTTCTTGCTATTTCGCGAATGCTAGTCCCTTGTTCTTGATTTTTTGCACACGCTAGGACCAGGCAAGCTCTTGGACCAGGCAGGCTCGTGGACCAGGCAAGCACCTGGACCAGGCAAGCTCCTGGACCAGGCAAGCTCCTGGACCAGGCAAGCTTGTGGACCAGGCACGCTCCTGGACCAGGCACGCTCTTGGACCACGCAAACTCGTGGATCAGGCACGCTCCTAAACAAGGCAAGCTCCTGGACGAGGCAAGCTCCTGGACCAGGCAAGCTCTTGGACCAGGCAAGCTAATGGACCAAGAAAGCTGCTGGACAAGGCAAGCTCCTGGACCAGGCACGATCGTGGAACACGCAAGCTCCTAGACCAGGCAAGCTCCTGGACCAGGCAAGCTCCTGGACCAGGCAAGCTCCTGGACTAGGATAGCTCCTGGACCAGGCAAGCTCTTGGACCACACAAGCTCTTGGACCAGGCAAGCTCTTGGACCAGGCAAGCTCCTGGACCACGCAAGATCTTGGACCAGGCAAGCTCTTGGATGAGGCAAGCTTTTGGACCAGGCAAGCTCCTGGATTACCCAAGCTCTTGGACCAGGCATGCTCCTGGACCAGGCAAGCTCTTGGACCAGGCAGGCTTCTGGACCAAGCTCTTCAACCAGGCAAGCTCATGGACCAGGCAAGCTCTTGGACCAGGCAAGCTCCTGGACCAGGCACGCTCGTGGACCATGCACGCTCCTGGACCAAGCAAGCTCTTGGACCAGGCAGGCTCGTGGACCAAGCAAGCTCCTGGACTAGGCAAGCTCCCGGACCAGGCAAGCTCCTGGACCAGGCAAGCTCTTAGACCAGGCAGGCTCGTGGACC